ATAATACAAAATTACTTTCTAAATTCTAGCAAAACTCTTCTCCATATTCAAAAGTATAATAAAAGATACAAGGAAAATAGTCAACAGTCAAATCGGAAAACTATGAAACGAAAGAGAGAGAGAGAGAGAGAGAGAAAGAGAGAGAGAAACTACAAATTCATTTCAAACTCATTTATCATTTATCCAGACCTGAAACTTGTATATCCTACAAAATCATTTTTTTTTTCTCCAGTTGGTGGACTACCGATGACCAAAAGGCAAAAGCCAGTTATCTCTGATAAAGACAAGAGAAACTTCTCCCAATGCACAGACTATTGAATTGGTATATATCAGGATAAACTTTACTACTATACTCGTTTTGCTCCTCTGTATATAGGCTTAAAGTTGTCACTATACATCTCACATTAATCATACACACATTATGAGGTGTGTTCACACTGGCTGTTTTAACCTGACTCAGTATGAATATAAAGATTTACTACTTCTACTACATCATAATAAGACCATAATATCATCTAAATGCTTCATAAACATAACTAACACCGTACAATATGTCACGTAGATAAATATGCTGGGCCTGTATCTTTCAATGACAGAGCTGCCAACCTCCAGAACAGAAAATCAGTAATCACAAGGCTCAAAATCAGTAATTTGGGGTATAAATCAGTAATTTCTTATGCGGCGCTATGAATCTAAAAAAACGACACGCCAACACTGCGCGGACGCATGATTATCTGAAATTTTTGGTGATTTTACTCACACAAAGATGTTAAGTATTGAATTTCAGGTCATCACAACACAGTTTATCATGAAAAATGGCTCCTATTCACAGCACTCGCTACGATAAATCATATTTAATTCATTAAAAAAAAAAAAAAAAAAAAAAAAAAAAATCTTTTTTTTTTTTTTTTTTTTAAATCCGTAATTTGAGACAACATTCCGTAATGGTCGTTAATTTCCGTACCAATTACGGAAAATCCGTACTAGTTGGCAGCTCTGCAATGATAAGTCTGATTTTATAAAATACACTTATTGGTTCTAATATCACTAATGGTATTCGCATCGTCATTAAACAATCCTGAGTTGCAGCACAACAATGTAATTTAGCTATGGAATAATAATAATTAACTTAACCGACAAAAATGAAAGAGATTGAAAATTGTATTTTCTTACCTGCAATGAAATGAAGAGGCTGGTCAGATTATGTGTTCACTGTGAATCATTATTGTATAGAACTGATTGCTGACCAACGCCTTCTTTGAGTTTCATTTTTGGAAGAAATTACATACTCTAACCGTTTCTGATAATTGGTTTTTTTTTCTTCACAAATTCAACGTTACGGTCCCCCAAAAATGTAACCAACATCCTCTCGCGGCACCCCGGTTAAAAAACGCTACTCTGGAGTTACAAAATCAAATGAGATGAATGTACCAGAGAGCGGATATTATTTTCTTTTAGCATGGCACCCATTGAATGCAATTTTTATTTCAAAATAGATTACTTTACCGGAAAACACATTTGTACTTCTGTATGACAACATAAATATAATATAACGTGAAGAAAACCTTATTTTTGGAACGATCATGGATGGGGGCCCACTATACATACAAAGACAAATACACGATCAGCTGATTAGAAAAGTTACAGAGGATGCATAAATAATGAAATCTTACATCCTAATTTCTTTGTTGGGCCATTTTTGTCTATATATATATGTTTTTTTTAAATATTTTTTTGTTGTTGGGGGGGGGGGGGGGGCTGTAACGCGTACTCATCTGTTCAATCTGTTCAATTTCTAAGAAAGGTAAATTCCGTACTTTACTCGGTGGCAGAACTACGGGGGCCGGATTGGGGAACCTCCACCCCCCCCCCCCCCACATCGAATTGAATCGAATAATTTGAAAAGACTGAAATGAACTTGAAAGCGAGAGAGAGGAAAATAAAGAAAAAAAGTAATATTCCGAATGTTCTAAACTGTGACTGGAGAGATATTGTTATTACAAATCTCCATACATCAATCCCAATTCTGCCCCCAATGTCATTCGACCAGCGGCACGCCAACGGTTTTGACACATGCATCTTCTGGCAATTAAAATTGATTCAATACACGTGACATATTACAAGTCAAACTTCACAAGGATGGAATGGATAAGGAGCGAGAGGGATGGGCGAAAGCCTTATAGGAGGATATAATATACATCAAGCAAAAAGATTTGGAAGATGGCTACGAGGGCTATTAGTTAATCTATCAAGATTTTGAAAAAAAATTAGGCTTGATGAAAGTGCTTGTATCGTGTTTGCAAAAATAAAGGGTCTGTCGAGACCTGATAACCATTATGCAAGGTACATGTAAAATATGTGGGAAGTGTTCTCTAACATGCTAGGTTTACTGAGGTTTGAATTTGTCCCTCGTATGTTCAAACATTAACAATGTATTTAAAATATTTTAAAGAGTTAGAGTAGACAAGGTGACTCGAAAATTGGGTCACCTTTAAAGTACAATAAAAAATACAATAACAACAATCAAGAAGGATCTATGTGCAATACCTACACATAAACATATACTCACCCACACCCTGCCCACCCTTCACACACACACAATAAACAGAAGAATTACACATTCTTAAAAAGTCTTCAAATATTAAGCTAGGATCCACTTCCCACATATTTGTTTCTAAGGTATAACCATTTTCAAGACAGTTATGTGAAGTGGTAGGCTAATGATCATTATATTTAATTATTGTGTTCCGGGATTGTTATATCTTTTTTATTTTTTATTATTTAATTCAAAATTCAAAACGAAAACAAAACAAAACAAAAAATATCTATTTCCTCCTTTAAAAGAAAAATAATCACTTTATTCAATATCAAAATCAAACAAAGGATCATAACATAATTATATGTGCATCATCATAACCATCATCATCATCATCAACATCATCATTGTCACCACCACCACCACTACCACCATCAGCAGCAGCAGTAGTAGCACCACCACCATCATCAGCATCATCAACAGCTTGATGCAAACCAGTTTCATGTACATTTAGTCTTTAGACAATATAATAAGTGAAAGCTATGCATACAAAAAAAAAAACTTATAAAACATACACATCTTTGTGACATTTTCCCCTTCTTACATCTGAATTCATTGACTGTAGATGCTATGTAGCTTCACATTAAGAATCCATTGAAATGTTTCATTATGTGTATGTTCCAATTTGATGGCATATGCAAAGTGAATTGTGTGGACTTATTTGAGACAGTATTCATTGTTTTTAAACATGATTTTTTTTTTTACTCGATGGATGGCAGGTGGGGATGAAAAAAGAAGATAAGTGCACCAAGATCCTATGTATGCTCACTTATCTGAGAGTTCTAAGATACATAACCATGAAGTGCATTAAAGGGACTTAGTAACATTGTTCAGATGAGAGAAAATGGTGCTAAGGTAGTGACTTCAATGCTAGATGTATAATTAAAGATAATCTGAAAGTTTAACGATAAAAATTGGGAAAAACTGATCTGATCGATTCCTTAATTCTCCCAACTATAATTATGATTACAATTTAATTACATTTTAGGTGAATGTAAATCGTCACAAAGCAATGAATTGGCTCTATATACCATTCCAACATGTAAGTGTTGACAGATTTTTTAATAACCTGTTTTATGACTTATTTTCAAGGAAAACGGTTGGGAAAATTCAAAAATGGTTGGGAGAATTTACTGTTAATTACTGTTAGAAGGTGTTGCACAGTAACACCTTCATAGAAAACCATAAATATCTTTGTGATTCGAGGATTTTCTCAGGATTTTTGCCTGTTAGAGGTTTAGTCCAGTAGAAGGAATATAATAGGTAACATTTCATACAAAAATTAGGCAATTTTTTCATCAACCTTCAACAATGTTACAGAGTCACTTTAAAAAAAAACTTTCTGAATTATTGTAATCTTCTTAAATCATAGTTCTTAATTCAAAAATGGTTGGGAGAATTTACTGTTAATCACTGTTAGAACTTAGAAGGTGTTGCACAGGGACACCTTCATAGAAAACCATAAATATCTTTGTGGTTTGAGGATTTTCTCAGGATGTTTTGCCTGTTAGAGGTTTAGTCCAGTAGAAGGAATATAATAAGTAACATTTCATACAAAAATTAGGCAATTTTTTCATCAACCTTCAACAATGTTACCAAGTCACTTTAAAAAAAAACTTTCTGAATTATTGTAATCTTCTTAAATCATAGATTTTAAATATTCTAAAACTCAATAAGGATATTTATTTGTAATCTTTGTATAATAGTTACTGAAAAGAAAATAGACTGTTCATTACAAATATTCTACTTTTATTTATACAGCTGATATGAAAATTTGACGTCCACAATTGAGGCCCATCTTGCACTGCCTATAAGATGATGAACATTTATTTTCTATTAACATTTTATTAAGGGCTTGTGTTTCCGTACACTTAGAAGAGATAATGCCAACACATTGCTAATGGATGTTTTTAAAAAAACATGGACCAAATTAACTTCCATAAGTATTTTACATTTATGATATTGTTGAGGTAGATTTTGTTCAAATTACCATTTGATGAAATATCTATTCCATATGTACAAATGAAAAGTAATGATTTGATAATTGATGTTTATTTTGGGGGCCATTTGTAATGTACTTCTTCCGTCTGTACATTCCATCGGTCTTGAATTCCTCATTATTAAATACATTAAAAATACTATACAAAGTATGGCAAGAAAAACCTGAATCTGGCAAGAAAAACCTGAATCTGAAGAGAAAACCTGAATCTGAAGAGAACATATTGAAGGGGTAGGTTTTGACTCTAGAGAGACTGAAAATTAACATTGACCGATACAGTAGGTAATTCATCATTGATGAGCACGCTACAAAATTCACATTATAGTTTAAAGGGTTAATTATTTACTCATTACGGTATACTAATTTTGCTAGTGGGCAATGCATATTGGGGATAATCTCTGTTCATGCAGCCCCTGCAATTTTTCCCGCTGTGCACTGATCAAAGATTCTTATCCCCAAAATGCATATGAGAACATCCTGCCTTGGACTTTACATTTGCGGGAGTAGTACCCTATTTGACATGTTGTTATTTTCATTCAAATGCATTTCTAATGACGTTACACACTTCGTGAAAAATATATACATAAGTACCTCCTTGGGTTGATGCAACATTGCCACAACCCACAATGTACCTGATCAACCCCTTTCTGTAGCAGCTGTACAGCAAGTAGCAGAGTGGGAGTGTATTCCTTGGAGAAATTAAATCACTTTATTCACCCCTTTGCAGTAGACATACTTGATGTTGTGATCCGTGCATGGATCTCTCAGTTGGAGTGAAAGCCTTTCTACTTCTTGACCTACTTGTTAGCACTGTCGGAGTCATAAATTGGATTATCAAGGGAGGGTGTCATTAAAAAATGCTGTTCACTCTACACCTTTGCAGCAGCTATACTTGGGTGTTGAGATCCTTGGATATCTTTAATGAAACAGACTCATCTCTACCTTTGTTGCACATATCAGGGTCAAACTGAATCATGGTCTCAGAAAACAGGGTTCTCATCAGAGCGTGTCTTATCGGTAGCCACCCATTTGAAGTGGACACACTGCATGTTGGAATGAAAACAATTCATCATTTCACTCTACACCCTTATAGCAGGTATATTTGGAATTAAGGTGTTTGGTAATCTCTCCACTGAAATAGAACCAGTTCTTGCCATGGACCTCTTTGTCCACCTTATCAGGGTGGTAGTGAGTGATGGCCTTCAAGAGCAGTTTCTTTGTGGAGAGTTTCTCATTAAGCTTGGCCCCTGGAGCCTTGGGCGGCCACGTCTTGTAGATGTCCTTAACAAATTCCAGATCACCATGGTTGGTGGCCATTTCTGAGAGTTTGTCAACGTCTTCCTTCATATCTTTGAGGGCAGCTTCCTTGTCCTTGTCTTCATCTTCGTCCTTGTGCAGACGTTTCTGGAAGTCCTCAACAAAGGCAGTGGACTCCATGAACCAATCTACAAACAAAACCATAGAAGAATTGTTAAACTAACCTGAAGCATGTGGTAGCATAAGAAGAGTGCGGATCCCTTTCTCATAAAACTTTCTTCTTAAAGATGATTGCAGGGCCAGCAAAATAAATAACATTTATTCCCCCTTATAAAAACAAAATCAGAGATCTTCTTCTGATCTTCCTCTCCTAGGAGTCCTGTTTGCTTCAATCCTGAAGACGATTGCAGGCAAAATGCATTGTGAGCTGTGTTTGTGCGGCATGGGTGCATATGGAAGTAAACATCCAACAGCACCAGCTCTCTTAACTACCTGGCTCACTATCCGAGCTTGTACCTAAAGGCTTCTACTGATGGGACAGATATGATGTCAGGTGACAGTGTATTACATATCCCTACTGTGCGAGGAAAGACCAACTGTCTTTGATGCTCATTTTTTTAGATTGGTAGCTGTATAGCCGGCTTGAGCAAGATTTCTAATTAAAAATGTGTGCCTCCCACCCCCCCCCTCCCTCCCCTACACTGGGTGGCATTTTGGATCCATAAACATGCATTACTCACCAACACCATGAAATGTCCTTGGGGTCATGCTCAGTGCCAGCTGAATAGCTTTCTTGTAGTAGTCTTTCCCTCGGGATGGCAAAATAAGGACCTGTTCACAAAAGGTATATTATACCATGGTTATCTGAGATGTACCCCTGTGACATTTCTTGCGGACTTTACTTTTTTTATGTTAATAATTGTAAAGTTGTTTACCCAGGGAAGCCTCATCAGCTTCAATGCTGTTCTTCCCGAGGGCCCTGCAATTATTATTACCTCAGTGATCATCACTCCCCGTTTACACCTGGGTGGAGAGAGGCAAATTTGGATTTAATGTCTTGCCAAAGATATTAGTGTCAGGCTGTGCAGGTCCTATGATAAATGCCTCTGTCACAGGAGCATTAATGGATTTTATGACACATATTCATATTGTTCCAGCTGTACGACACATGCTCTGGTAACACTTACTCTCTGGTCGATTCCCTACACTTGTCCAATTCCTTACTTCAAGTTCAATGATGTTCAATCACAGACCAAGCATTATTTACCTAATTTTAACCATAACCCTGAACTTAACCTATAATAGACTTGCAATCAAAACCCTAATTGTGTACCTTTGACATATTAAAGCCTGGAGCGGCTGTCATCGGAGCAAATGTCCAAGCAGCAAGGTACAACTGAGATACAGAGATCGATTTCGTTGAATCTCAGTATGGAGCTAGAGGAACCGATGGACGTAATTGATTCACAATCATATCAAGCTGAACCGATGGAAACGGAAGAGTCTCAAGATACAGAGGAGGATATGCAAATCAATGGGGTGAAGACTCCTCACAAAGTGACAGAATCGTTGTCACTCGTAAGGCGAAACAAGCAGCTGAGCTGATTACATTGGGCGTTTAGGCAAGAGCTAGCTTAGACAAACTCACCAGCACCGCCAAACTTGGCAACACCACAATCTTCACAGGGCTTTTTCTGCTCTGAACCAGTGCCAGAAATGAAAAGATGTGCCTTCTACAGAATTTTGTTTCATCTAGTAGGAAACCTTAAAACAGCTGTCAAAGAGGCTACTATGAACTTACTTTGCCAAAGACACGTCCAAGTCGACTGTAAGCTATAGCTTCCTGCTCCAGGTCCTTATCCCTGCATAACATTGCTGCTTGTTTGTAGAAATCTATCACGGTCCATATTGTGTCGCTATTAATTGTTTCTTGCTCATTCAGATCTTTACTTAACAGGGCATCACCTTGGCATTAAACATGATACAGGACAAAATATTAAAAAAAAAAAAATCTTCTCTCTGATATCTCCATAATCTGTGAGTTGCAGGATAGGTGAAAAGAAATGCCATGTCCCATGTAAGTATGATTGGGGATTGTGTGTCCAGACGTTTGACAAAAATAACTGAAAGCCACCACTTTTGCCTTTGGATTTAACAAAATGTATATTATAGAAATATACTATTGTCCAATATTAGAAATTACTGTTTTAAATCAACTGTCTGGATGCACAACTTGTCTGGACACACAAAAACTGGGTTTACAATGTATATGATGCATTAACCTTTAATCAGACAGTTAACACTCTCCCTTTTACTACATGAGAGCTTTCCAATGAAATGTCTTGAAAATTTACTGACATGTAAACTACAATATCAATGAATGAAGTCCACTAAGAGCTAACTAAGAGCAAAATCCTTGTATGTTCCAATTGCAGTAGCATCTTCAATATAATCAAATGCATTTGATTATATTAAATATGCTACTGCAATTGTAGGTATAACCAGAGGTTGTGTGTCCGGACAGGTTGTGTATCTGGACGATTTATGAAAATCTTTGATTTGAAGAAGTTTAACTCTTGAATATAGGCTGACCATTCAATCCATATCCTCTTGATTTTGGAAAATATACAACCTTTTACAGGGTGTCTGGTGAGAAATAGGAGTATGGTACTTAGTTAAATTACCAGATATTGTAGTTACCCGTTTGCGGTCTTACCTGAAACGCGGGCCATGATAGTTTCAGCAATACACATGTGAGTGTTAACATCTTCTCTCAGGACGTTCACTTCAGTCTCGATGTATAGATCCTGGCTACTCAGCCTCTCTGCTTCTTGGATAGGAAAGTAGCATTCCTTCATGTATCTGAACAGGAATGAAAAAGTGAGGAAAAAATTAATGTTGTGACATACCATAAACCATATCCTTTTGTAAGGAAATTGGTTAATCCCACAGTAGTTTAATGTCACCTTTTATTGACGTTTTAATATATCTGTCGATCCAGAATGCTCTGAATGACAGAAAGAACAAAAATCACTGGAAAATCAAGGAGTCTCTAAATTGGCAATGCAGAGTGGAATTTAAAATCACTATTTTTGTTGTACAAATTTCTTGTTGATACGTCATATTATTCATTCACACTGTTTCATTCAATATATTTCATCTACACAATGTTTGTTTAGTTAACCATAATAAAAAAACTGACATGTACCATTAGTTATTAGTTATCTTGCCAGGCTGTTAGACCTTAAGAAACAGGAGTGAATTAGACATATCAAGATAATCAAAGACTTACCTGCATGTGGCATTCCTGGTATTCTATATCTTGCCAGACTGTAACACCTTCACGAAACAGGAGTGTATCAGACAGTATCAAGATAATCAAAGACTTACCTGTAGCATTCCTTGTATTCTCCATCTTGCCAGGCTGTAAGACCTTCATGAAACAGGAGTGTTGAATACTGGATGTATCCATTGGCCTTCAGACAACAGTCTGGTGCGTAACCTAACAGCTCACTGAAACCAGCTACCCTCTCTGAAATTAACCATTAATAAATATTCCATTACATGATTGGTACCTCTAGAGTGTAGAAAATATACATCTTTCTCATTATACAGCATGTATAAGGCGTGATAGCTCAGTCGGTCTCGTAATCCGGTGACCCGGGGTTCCAAACTAAGTTGATGCACTATTGGCCCTTTGGTAAGGCATTGATCCTCATTACCAGGTCCCTTGGAGAGGACCTAAAGCCGTCGGCCGCCTGGTTGCTTACTTACAAGCATTTATGCTTTCTTAGCAGTGAAATGGAATGGAATGGTGGTGGTTATTTTACCTGACTGCTAAGAAAGCATAAAGGCTTGTTAGTAAGCAACCAGACGGCCGACGGCTTTAGGTCCTCTCCGAGAGACCTGGTAATGAGGATTAATGCCTTACCAAAGGGCACTAGCGCATCGCCTTGGTTTCGAACCCGGGTCACGTGATTACGAGACCACTGCTCTACCGACTGAGCTATCGCGCCTCCTCATAATCAAGTAATAATCACAGTCAAGTAGAATAACCACCACGACACACATAAAAGATAAAGAAATATAAAAACCAATTCCCAACTTTAGTACTTCTTAATTAAAAAGTCATTACCAATATGATTTTGAAATTTATTTCATGCTAAAGAGAAAATTGTTTTAATGAAATGATACCCGACTCTAATCATATCTAATACTATCTCTGCCATGGGTGACTGAGCACCAGGGTATTTGATAAGTGTTGTCAAAATCGCCTTGTATCACATCAAGGTTGATAGAACAAATGTGGGTCGTACAGAACTACTTGGGCTCCGTGCATGGGGTTATATTTATATATATATATATATATATATATATATATATATATATATGTTATTCTATATTTTCTTCATACCCATTAATCATCTGTTAGCACGTAAGATGCCAGATAAAGTTTTTGAGGTTGATTGAATTGAATACACAAATTATTGTTTTCATGTATGTGATTGAACATAGCACACATACCCTTGGTGTCCAATGTAGCTAACCATTCAGTGGCCTCCTTCAAACAGTTCTCCCAAAACCCTCTCAACTTGAGGGACCATGGCAAAATCTTGCAGAACCTATTCACGTACGCCAGGGACAAATACTTCAAGGCCTCTTTGAAATACTTTCGGATATTCTAAAAAAATAGAGAAACAGAACATTTGGTTGCTTAAATCATTTTATTACAAAAGGTACTTCTGTAAGTTATTTTAACTTACCACTGGCCTGTAAAGAGTGGAGCAAAATTTTGATGTCATTATCTCTAAAAAAAAATCCCTAAAATAATATTGTCTTCTTCTTATTTTCACATATGGTTATTCATTTTAGAACCATACCAAAGCCATATCAAGCATGGAAATTTTCGAAATTCAAATTATCTCTTCCTTTCTACAATGCTCTTTAAGTTTTTAGCTTTGCCTATTTTCTGTCTCCTAAATTGTCTGACTGACCTTGGCTTCTTTCATTGGAGCACTCTCCAGGTAAGTGCCAGCCAGCTTCCAAGATGTCATACCGATGTTCTTCATCACAGAAACCTCCTCATCTTCAGTGGCCGCACAGCTGAGGGCGTTCCTGTAACACATGAGGGCATTATCAAGCCTCATTAGACGGATGACGGGGCCAATGTTGGTAGCCGACTTGTAGAAGGCGTTGCCTCGCTCTCTCTGCTGTACCGAGGAACTCTTGCTGGTCTTAGCCGCAGAAGTAGTCATGATGAGGTTTTCTCCGGGCCAACAACAGAAAAATAAAATGGATGATTCCTTTCCACAAACAGCATATCATGTTTAATTCAACACAGCCTTCAGTTCTACACTCATCAATACCACGTCATCAGCTAATATAGTTATAGTTCAAAACCCGGAGGCCCAAAGGCAAAAGCAAAAACCATCCTGACTTGTTTTTTACCAAGGAACCCAAATAAAAAAAATTAAAATATAATCCAGGACCGGCGCGTACGCAGGGGGGGGGGGGGGTTAAACACCCCCCTCCATTTTTTTTTATGTGTGTTTTGAAGGAACCCCCCCCTTCCTTTTTTTTTTTTTTACTGAATAAAAGCTTATCGATGACCTAAACAAAATTTCCTCTTACCCCACCCCCCCCCTTATTCAGCGGCTGGTTGAGGCGTTGTGAAATTTTCAACTCGATTTGAAATTGTTAACCCCCCCCCCCCCCCCCCCCCCCCCTGCGTACGCACCTGATCCAGTTACCAATACTTCCCATTTCTACATTTCATTTTACAAATTTCAAGGCTAAGGGCCAATTATTATCATGGATGATAAAAAATGATATGAATAATCAATAACTATGGCCATGATAGCATTATACTATCTAAGTATGATTACAGACTAGGGTCTAGGCTTTATTTACTAGGCTCAGGACTTTAAATTTGTCAATGATGTTGAAACGACACAATTACAAGTTTAAATAGGGCAAACTAAAATATGCCTGCAAGATATAAGGTAATCAGTCAAGAAACAGAACTAGATCTAGATCTATTTAGACTCTACAGGAATATAACGTACATATAGATCATGTCTAATACATGAGTAATTGGAGCTGGAGTGAATGTACTAGATTGAACAGGCCTAGGCCTATAGAAAAAAGGTCTTCCCTATAATCTAGATCTAGATTCTAGACTAGATCTAGACTATAGCCTATTCACTTTATGAAAAGATATCTCATCAGACAGAGAATAAATACTTTACACTACTCTACAGCACGCTTCTCCTTGATAAAAGTATATGAGATGTAACTGTTGGCCTAATCCAATCATATTATACAAAAGTAGAACGAGGTGTGAACTAGTGCTGTAACATCACGGATATCTCCAATTCCGTTTAACCGCCAGTCAAAACCGGACGGTTTTCGGTTAAACGATTTAAAAAAAAAAAAAAAAAAAAAAAAAAAAAAAAAAAAAAAAAAAAAAAAAAAAAAAAAAAAAAAAAATCGTTTTTTTTTTTTTTTTTTTTTTTTTTTTTTTTTACCGACTCTGTCGGCAACTTTCATTTTACTGCGAGGTGCATTTAAAGGGGCCGATTTGTGCTTGTGAACTTGTCACAAATAATAGTAACAATGTTGTTTTTAGAAGAATGTGTAAGATCATTAATATAAATTAAAAACAGTAGAGGACCTAGGACAGAACCTTGTGTAAAAGTTGGATGAATTATTATTATAAACTACATATTGAGATGATGAGATCTATTACAAAGATTACTTTCAAACCAAGATGACAGACAAATTGGAGTGTTGTTCTAGTTTTAGAGTGGTGAGTCAACACACAGATTACTGAGCTAGGAGACATTGCCAGGCATAGTGCCAGGTGGAGGGGCATATTAAAATCAAAACTTTAAAAAAAAAAAAAAAAAAAAAAAATATTAAAAAAAAAAAAAAAAAAAAAAAAAAAATCGGGAAAACGAAACCGTCCAATTGAAAACGGAATCCGCCATGGGCGGTCGGATACCGGACGGTTAAACGTTTGACTACAGCACTAGTGTGAACAATTAGTTTTTTCTCTTACCTAAAACCGGGGAGGTGGGACTGTAGCTGCTAGCTGTACAAATGAGCTAGAGCAGAACCATACAAACCCACGTTTGCTCTCCACAGCGGCAAGATAGATGAGATGCAGACCATATAAATCAACATTCTTATCAGGAGGGCTGCTGAGTGCAGTGGTCATTCCAAGAGAGAGAGAGAGAGAGAGAGAGGGGGGGGGGGGGGGGGCCGGGGGAGGAGACAAGAGAGTGAGAGAGGGGAAAAGAGAGGAACAAGAATTTGTGTGTTATGCTATGGTCACATTACCCAAAAGTAGCCTGCTCGGCGGCCGAGCGGCGAGTTTTTAACCAATTCTGCCCGGCGGCTGCCCGGCCACCGAGCGGCGACCGGCCAGTCACCGCTCGTTGTTAGGGCATCGCTCGGTCGCCGCTGAAGTTTTAGCGCGGAGTTAAAATTTGGGCGGCGCCTGCCCACTTTTCATCCGCCGCCCAAAATACGCTCGGTGCCTGGGCGGTCGCCGCCCGGGCACCGAACTAATCGCTGGGCGATGCCTAATTCCAGCAGCGACCGAGCAGGCTACTGATCGGTCGGTCGCTGCTCTAATTTGTGACCATAGCTTAAGCAGGGGAAATCCGACGTAGACTACGTATAAGGAAAGTGCAAGATATAAACAGGAAGAGAGGAGAGAACTCTCAAGTAGAGTTTGAAACTACGGACCTACGAAAACACTCGAGGTGTGCTCTTATGTAACAGTAATACCTGTTAGAAACTTTGAAATTGTATCCTGTTCTGCATTGGATTCAGACAGATATATCATAACATGTCAATAGACTTATACATGGCACTCGGTCTCAACATCTATAATATGTTTTTTTAATAATTTTTAACAGCCTGTGTGAAAAATTGATTTGTCCCGATGTTTCTTGAGAACGTGACATAGACTCTATATGCTTCCATATAAAAGTATTCAACAAAGGCCTAATTTAACCAGTCCATCTTTTTTTCTTGAGTTACAAAAACACACTCTAAAAGTCATCAAATTCCCAAGGAGATGAAAAATTTAGTTGTTAAAAAGTTCCCAAAGAGGCCGTTTGTACCAAGTTCTATCTACATTTGAATCCAACCTGCAAAGTAGAAGAGACGAAAGCATACAATCCATCGACTGAGAGTCGGTAAGTGCCTTTTGAACGAAACTCTTTTCAAACTAGGCAAACATCCAAAATAATGGTCTTTGTTTATATTGTAACAAAATAGAACATTTACACCATTATATTATTGACTGTAGGCCTAAACAGTTCGACAGAGAAAGAATAAAATTTCGACATAGAATGAAGAATTAATACATCACTAAGCCTGGAAAATGTACTCTCTCCAAAGAACCAAGTATGATGTACGATAATTAAACAAAGAAAATATCCTCTAACACACCAATACCGGACTTAGGGGGGGGGGGGGTGCTTTCAAAGGGAGGGAACAGGGCGGGGCGTATTTTGACTGAATGCCATAAATACAAGCAACAACAACCTGTGAAACCCACAACATAAATGAACATTGTTATAACCGGCTCATGACAAAAAGATAATCTTTAACATGAATGTCAATTGCCCCTCCTATAGATTACCATCCTCTACATTTAGCAAATCAGTTCAATAATACCGAATAGAGTTAAAGATAAACTTGCACCCAATTGGTCTGTAGAAGATTTACTGGCATTCTCCGTTTTCTCCTTCTAGCTGCTGTTTTGAAAATCATTAGTAGAGCATTTCGCAAAAATTGTCCCCGTTACTGGCAAAAGAACGTGAACTCAGGTGTATTTTCATCGACACCTGTTTGTTCTTCTTGATAAGTTTGTTTCCTCCCTCGACTACTGCTTCACGTTCTCCAGGTTGAACCATTGGGCGACCTGATATGAGATCTTGATATACCATCTCTGCTCGGCAAAACACAGCCATCATCATCATTACTCTCGTATTCATCACTGTATTTTTGTTCATGTCCACTTCCTCGTTCAGCGACGGTTAATTTTATGGTGGCCCTGAAGGGACATCGCGAATAGACTAAACCGTGAAAAATATGCGATAAAATTCACGATAAGTCAATTTTATCGCATATTTTTCACGAAGAAATTCACGAAATTGACGATATCGTGAACTTTATCGTGAACTTTTCACGATGAAATTGACGATATCGTGAATTTTATCGTGAAAAGTTCACGATATAAAGTTCACGATATTGTCAATTTTATCGTGTACTCTATCGTGTACTCTATCATGTACTCTCCTGACGGGCGCTTCGTAAACAAAACCAGCCCTAGCTGGGGGAGACAGAGAGAAGGAAAAAAGGGAAAGGGAAAGAGAAGATAAAAGGAAAGAAAGAATAATAAGAAGAAAAGAGGGAAACGGGGGGGGGGGGGCGAAGGGCTCTTGCCTCCTCCTCACTCCCCCCCCCCCGCCAAAAAATAAATAAGGAGAGAGAGAAGGGAAAGGGAAAGGGAAAGAAAATATAAAAGGAAAGAAAGAAGAGGAAGAAGGAAAGAGGGAAACGGGGGAAGGGCGAAAGGCTCTTACCTCCCCCCCCCCCCCCCCCGCCAAAAAAATAAATAAGAGAGAGAGAGAGAGAGAGAGAAGGGAAAGGGAAAGAAAGAAGAGGAGTAAGAGGGAAACAGGGGAAGGGCGAAGGGCTCTTGCCTCCTCCCCCCCCCCCCCCCCGCCAAAAATAAATAAGAGAGAGAAGGGAAAGGGAAAGAAAATATAAAAGGAAAGAAAGAAGAGGAATAAGAAGGAAAGAGGGAAACGGGGGAAGGGCGAAGGGCTCTTGCCTCCTCCCTCCCCACCCCCCGCCAAAAAAATAAGTAAGAGAGAGAGAGAGAGAGAGAGAGAGAAGGGAAAGGGAAAGAAAGAAGAGGAGTAAGAGGGAAACAGGGGAAGGGCGAAGGGCTCTTGCCTCCTCCCCCCCCCCCCCGCCAAAAATAAATAAGAGAGAGAAGGGAAAGGGAAAGAAAATATAAAAGGAAAGAAAGAAGAGGAATAAGAAGGAAAGAGGGAAACGGGGGAAGGGCGAAGGGCTCTTGCCTCCTCCCTCCCCACCCCCCGCCAAAAAAATAAATAAGAGAGAGAAAGAGAGAAGGGAAAGGGAAAGAGAATAAAAAAGGAAAGGAAGAAGAAAAGAGGGGCTCTTGCCTCCTCCCCCCTCCCGCGCCAACAAATAAATAGGAGAGAGAGAGAGAGAGATAGAGAGAAGGGAAAGGGAAAGGGAAAGAAAATATAAAAGGAAAGAAAGAAGAAGAAGACGGAAAGAGGGAAACGGGGGAAGGGCGAAAGGCTCTTACCTCCCCCTCCCCCTCCCGCCATAAAGGGAAAGAGAAGGGAGAGGGAAAGAAAATATAAAAGGAAAGAAAGAAGAGGAAAAAGAATAAGAAAAGAGGGAAACAGGGGCGAAGGGCTCTTGCCTCCTTTCTTTTCTTTCTTTTCCTTTCTTTCCTATTCTCCCTCTTTTTCGTTTTTCTCTTTCTTTCTTCTCTTTCCCTTTCCTTCTCTCTCTCTCTCTTATTTATTTTTTGGCGGGGGGCGGGGGGACGAGGCAAAAGCCCTTTGCCCCCGTTTCCCTCTTTTCTTCTTCTTCCTCTTCTTTCTTTCCTTTTATCTTCTCTTTCCCTTTCCCTTTCCCTTCTCTCTCTCTCTCTGATTTATTTTTTGGCGGAGGGGGGGGGGGAGGGGGGGGGGCAAGAGTCCTTCGCCCTTCCCCCGTTTTCCTCTTTTCTTCTTCTTCCTCTTCTTTCTTTCCTTTTATCTTCTCTTTCCCTTTCCCTTTCCCTTCTCTCTCTCTCTCTGATTTATTTTTTGGCGGGGAGGGGGGGGGGAGTGAGGAGGAGGCAAGAGCCCTTCGCCCCCCCCCCGTTTCCCTCTTTTCTTCTTATTATTCTTTCTTTCCTTTTATCTTCTCTTTCCCTTTCCCTTTTTTCCTTCTCTCTGTCTCCCCCAGCTAGGGCTGGTTTTGTTTACGAAGCGCCCGTCAGGAGAGTACACGATAGAGTACACGATAGAGTACACGATAAAATTGACGATATCGTGAACTTTATATCGTGAACTTTTCACGATAAAATTCACGATATCGTCAATTTCATCGTGAAAAGTTCACGATAAAGTTCACGATATCGTCAATTTCGTGAATTTCTTCGTGAAAAATATGCGATAAAATTGACGATATCGTGAATTTTATCGCATATTTTTCACGATTTAGTCTATTCGCGATGTCCCTTCAGGGCCACCATATAATTTCCACCTCCACCCCACCAACCCAATTATTGGTCTGGAATTCCGTGCGCTAAGCTACAAAATTTTGAGAACGATCTCTGGTCGGCACACCCCAGCCACCACCACTGTCTTTCTTTCCCCGCCCAACACTTTCTCCTTGACGGTTTCCACCTTTTCCACCACTAAATCGTCCTCTTCGCCTTCGACTTCCCGCTTCTCCGTTTCCTACACCAATTCCAGAATCTTTTCTTTGGTAAAGATTGTCAGTATCATCCGAGTCAGAAATTTCCACAACCTGATTCAAAATTTGAACCGATTCTGCCCTGAATCCCTTTGGAGTTGTAAACAAATCATATCAAAGTTGTATGGATTTAAAAGCAAGACGTACACTCTGTTTTGCTCTTATTCAATGTTTATTTGACTATGCTAACCCTGCATGGTATAGTAACATAAACAAGTCAGATCAAAAGAAGTTGAAGATTATACAGAACAAAATGGTGAGATTTATCAACTGTTCTGGTCCAAGAACTCATGTTGGCTACAGCGAACTTTCTAAAGCTGGTTTTCTTGAAGTCGACCAAAGATCAAAACAACTCGTATTGCATCATGTGCATAAAATATATCATACTAGGTCGAATCATTATATTCGATCCAACTTCGATCTTGTTACTGACGTACATGATTATAATACAAGAAATAGACGATTCAACTTTAACTTACCAGAAAGAGTAGGTAGTATTGGAAATTCGTTTTATTACAATGCCATAAAACATTGGAATTCCCTTCCCAATGGTGTAAAAGAAATAGGAAACTATGATCATTTTAAGAGGAAATTAAAGGAATACCTAATACTTGACAGTCAGACAAGAGAAATGAATGACATGTTATATGATTGAAATTTTTATTCTTCTGTCGGTTCATACTTTTTCATGTTGTATATACCTATGTTTTCG